ATTAATCATTTTTTCCTGGAAATAGTCGCACTTCGGCTTATTTGAAATAGAAAAATCCATGTCCGTACGAATAAGTCACGCAGTCTATTCATACGAAAAAAAAGCAATGAAAAACGTAATTCAAAAATTTCTAAAAGTAATCTAGTTAACCGTGATTCGAAAAAAATAGTCATGAGTCGTGAAATCGCCAAATTTCTAGCCGTGAGTCGTGATGCGTACCACCCCATTGAGACCCTCTTTAAAATCAGACAGCTGTATTTGCCAAAAAAACGCCAAACAATATTTGTTAAACAATTGAGTTAGCTAGCATCTTTGACTAAACGGAACCCACCGCTAATGGAATTTTATAATGGAATTTATATAATGGAATTTTAATAAATATATTCAAGTTGATTTGATCGCACAATCTGGAAAAGTTCACGTAACACACACAAACCCTTACACACGAAAAGCTACACTCGTAACATCGTTTAAAAATGTCCTTGATGTTTTCGTAAGGAGTGCAGGCGTACGTGTGCTTAATTCACGAGTTACTTAATGAAAAAGTAATGCGTGGATGTAGGGTAAACCACAAGGGAAATGTCACGCGTAAGCATGGTCCACTTTCGAAATTTTGTTTGATACTGATTCATCAACAAAAGAATTGAGGACGAAGTTAAGCGAAATAATTTTGTATCGTTTCGCCGGAACCTCGTCTTCATTCATTTGTGCGTTGTTACTCAGTTAAAATATCGCCTTTTTGTCGCCTAACAGTCGGCTATTGCTTTACAAGATGCATGCCGTCTGTCACTGTTTTGCAAGCATGAGGTCTTTATTTTTTTACTCGCACATGCGACCCAGCCCCTGGGACTCCCCAAGCATGTATGCACAGGGAGCCCATCACATAACATCTCCCTTTACAACGATGAAGTTAAAAAATGTCAACCAAACAAACTGGGTAACTATGAAATACAGGTTTCTAGTATAAAAAACATATTAGTTCATTGTTCAATGTTCAAACATGAATCTTGAGGGTGCTTTCACACATCTTCCAGAGCGGGTCACTAATGGTGAGGCTTCGTTAACATCTGGTGTAGTTATAGTGGGGTGAGTACAGTTGTCAGGAGCAGACGAGGCAATCCTTCGAAGCTCTCCTCCCAGTGCAGTTGAACAGTCAAGTGGAGGGTTTTGGTCTACAGTTGATAGATTTTTAGCAGCAGGTGTGTCACGCAAGTGGATCCTGTTTCTTCTGTATGACCTGTCTCCAGTACTGACTATGTAGCTTCGTGGAGTAGATGCATTTGCAGACACAATACCTGGTTTCCATGGAGATCTAGGTAGTTGCGGCTTCACTTTCACTTGAACAGGCTGCCCAACAATAAGTTTGGGTAGTTGTTTTGTACCMTTGTCATGATAAAACTTTGCTAACTTGCGCCTTTGAATTACATCAGATGTGACATTTTCTTGTACTTGTGGTTTGTARAGAGTTTCTTTGCATGGCAGTGTAGAGCGAGTGCGTCTTGACATTAGTCGCTGAGCTGGTGAGCTAGTTAATCCTGGAGTGGTTGCATTTCTCCACTCCAGAAGGGCCTTCCAGATGTCCTTGTTCTCCTTYCTTGATTTACTGATGATGCTTTTTGCTATCTTGACTGCGGACTCTGCCTTCCCGTTCGACTTGTGATGATGGGGACTGACGGTCACGTGGTTAATATCCCATGATGTAGTRAACTGTTGGAATTCTCTTGAACTGTAGTTGGTGCCATTGTCAGTTATGAGAACTGAAKRGMTTCCATGAGTTGAAAACATGAGCTTCAGTTTATCAATGATTTCTGATGAAGTCAATGATTGGAGCTTGTTGACTTCTATATAATCAGAGTACAAGTCAACTGCAATGACATAGTACTCGCTTTGTACTTCGAAACAGTCACTAGCAACAGCCTGCCATGGGTACTGCGGAACAGGATGAGTCATCATGGGCTCATCTGCTTGAGCTGTCTGTGATTCTTGGCATGTTGAGCACCTCCGCACAGCTTCAGTTAGATCAGCATTCATCCTAGGCCAGTACATTATTTCTCTAGCAGTGGAGGTGGTGTACTGGATGCCCAAGTGAGATGTATGGGCCCTTGTGATCATCTCCTTTCTCAAGTTCTCTGGAATTATGATTCGTGTCCCACGRTAAGCAAGTCCATTTTGTGTAGACAGTTCATCTCGATACGGCCAGTACTCTTTAATGCACAAGGGCACGTCRTTCTTCGATTCAGGCCAGCCTTCTTTTATGCACTGCATTAGTGTCTGCATTGATGAATCTAGCTGCGTAGTTTGTCGTATTTTGTTTAGACGGTGGTCTGAAACAAAAAGGGAGTCTTCCATGTCAATATCCTCTAGGGCCTTGCGATGCTTTGCTTCTTCTTTGACTTGAAATATCTGGTAGTCTGGTAGATCTTCACGAGTTTCGGGAAGAGGTAAGGAGGCCCTTGACAGAGTGTCGCTRATGTGCATTTTTGGGCCAGGCTTGTATTCGACCTCTAATGAGAACTTCTGAAGTCTCAGCCTCATGCGTTGAAGGCGTTTGGGACTAGTGAGTATTGATTTCTTGAATATGGTGACCAGAGGTTTGTGGTCTGTCTGGATTTTTACCCTTTCTTTGCCAAGGATGTAGTGTTCGAATCTTTCAGTAGCAAACACGATCGACAGACATTCTTTTTCTATTTGTGCATAGTTCCTTTCGGTCTGGGATAAGGCTCTTGAAGCATATGCAATCGGGTGACCTTCCTGGCTTATCACAGCACCAAGACCAACYTCTGAGCTGTCACATTCGATTGTTACGTCCTTGTCTTTGTCATAATAGTGGAGGATTGGGGCGTCGGTGATCATTGCTTTGATCTTGGCAAAGGAGTTCTCATGTTGCGGTAGCCAATCAAACACTGCGTCTTTGTCAGTGAGGCGACGGAGAGGTTCAGCTATTGTGCTCAGTTGAGGAAGAAACTTCGCAAGGTAGGTCACAACACCTAGTAGTCGCTGCACTCCTGGGATGTCAGTGGGTTGAGGCATGTCCTGTATGGCCTGCACTTTATCAGGGTCTGCTTGGATTCCTTCTGAGCTGATGATGTGTCCGAGGTATGAAATCTTTTCTTGCTTATGCTTGAACTTTCGCTTGTTAAGCTTTAGACCACGGTCTCTGCAGCGATCAAGGAGCTCTTTGAGTGCTTTATCGTGCGATTCAGTTGCTTCTTCCAGCGTGTCACCAGTCCCATAAATGAGAATGTCGTCAAATACKGCTACGYCATTGCTTAGGCCTTCAAGACACTGATCTATTCTGCGTTGGAACTCCTCTGGAGCTGATTTGATACCAAACGGCATCCTCAGCCAACGATATCTCCCATATGGGGTCCAGAAGGTGGTCAGGTAACTGGATTCCTCATCTAGTAGTACTTGAAGAAACCCATCCTTTGCATCGACTACTGAGAAGATCTTTGCATTTGTGAGCTTGTGGGCAACATCGTCAATTGTTGGCGTAGGATAGTGATTTCTTATGATTGCTTTGTTGAGTTCTAAGGGATCAATGCATACCCTCAGTTTATTAGGTTTCTTTATAGCCACCATGTTGCTGATCCATTGAGTAGGTTCTTCTACTTTAGCAATAACACCCATTTCTTCTAGCTCTTTGATCTTTGCTTTTAGGTCGTCCTGGACTGGAATTGCAACACGTCTGGGGTTGTTCTGGACAGGTATCACCGAGGGGTCTGTTTGGATGTGATATGTTCCTGGCAATGTACCAAGACCATTAAAGACATCTGAGTATTCCTGTAGGATTTCTTCTTTTGTCGGAGAAGCTGGCTTTGATGTGAATTCATGAACACACTGTTCATTGAACTGTAGAAGTTTGAGAGCTTCACATGCCTTTCCTGACAGTAGGGATGTAGGGGCTTCTCTTACAATTTGAAAGTGTACTTTCTTGGTGATTTCATTGAGTGTGCATAACAGCTTCGTCTTGCCTATGGGTTTCATTGTTGCACTTCCGTAAAGGCGTAGTATGGTGTTGGATTGATCAGGCTCCTGCTGCGTTATTTTGTTGTAATCCTCCTCTCTGATAGTGCTACATGTTGCTCCAGTATCAATTTGGAACTTGATAACTTCAGTTGAGGTCTTGTCTAGGGTTGATACCTTAATCTCAGCAATGTATTTTCTCTTGTTGCTAGCGTGGACATTGTATATGCTGTCATCACTGTCTGAAGGGATGTCTTCTTGGACTATGTGTATTTTGTGCTTGGAGCTCTGAGTTGAGAATTTCTCAGGTGCATGTGCAGGCTTTGATTGACACACTTTAGCAAAGTGGTTGCGTTTGTTGCAATTGGCGCATATTTGGCCATAAGCTTTGCAGCTTCCTCGTGGGTGTTGGTCGCCACAATACTTGCAGAGTTTTAGACTTTTATCTTGAGTTTTGTTTGCTGATTCAGCTCGCTTCTGCTTTGGATGAGCTCTTGCATACTTCACCTCTTCTATTGGATGGTCTATGTTTTGAAGTTGTTGGCTGGCCATTTCGCTGGTACGACAGATGTTTATTGCAGTGTCAAGGACAAGGTCCTTTTCTCTCAGAAGACGCTCTCTGATGTCGTTGTTTTC